CACCCAAAGCTCTGCTGCTCTTTGACTCGATAGAGTCCTGATTGCTTATCAGCTGTGCATGCTAATCTATTATAGAGGGGCATTACAAGAGCACGGAAGAGATATTGTACTTGCACAAGAGACTTGTTAGACCTCATGTGGAGTATTGTGTAAAGAGAAATCGGATGTCCTAGTGAATCATCAAATGTTAGTATGCAGACATAGCAAAGGAATGTTGGTGTTAATCCCAAGGAGAATGGGTTAGAAATACTAAATTGCTTTAGAATCAGTTCAGAAAAAGGGCAGAGAGAGGGCAAAATCTCAGTTGATGGAAAAAGATCTGAAGTACTAGCATAGAAGGTTACATTGTCCATACTATTATAATGGAGACAGAAACTGGGAGAATGAGATAGTATTCTTAAAGGAAATGAGGTGTGAGGAAGTATTATTTGATGATCTATCCCAAGAAAGGGAGACAGAGATATCAAAGGAGATCACTTTGATAACAGAATAAGACAACCACACAAAAGCAGAAGAAGCATGAAAATTGGAAGTCAATTAAATTTTCCAGTTCAGGGTGAAAGCAAGAAACAGCATTAATACAGCCTTCAATACACAGTACCAGAAAAGGAAGGGAACAATGAGGCCCAAGAACGATATATCTGGTTTTATATGGTTAAAATACCACACAAATTTCATCTCTTAATTTTTCGTTTAATCTATTTTAGCCAATTCTTATGGTTTCCAGTATCACAGTTGCCGGCCTTCAGCCATTTCAATTATTTTTATGTGATATTAAGAAATGGCTGAAGGCACTGAATACTGCAAAAGCTCCTGGCCCTGACAACTGTACTGAAGACTTGCACTGTAGAACTAGCCTCTCCCTTATCCTAGCTGTTGTAGTTCAGTTGTTCAGATACGTCCTGTCCATGGAAAAGGAGGACAAATCTAACTCATCTAATTACGACAGCATTCATCCACTGTCAATCTTCTACAAAGTGATGAAAGCGGTCATCATAAGGGCTCTTCAGCTGGTCATATTCAACAATAAACTGCTCACTGATATTCAGTTTGGGTTCCACTAGGCCCACTCAACTCCTGACTTCATTACAGCTTTGGTCTTGAACATGGACAAAAAGAGATGAACTCATGAGGGGAAATTAGGGCAACTCCTTGATATCAAAGCAGAAAATCTTTCCTCCAAGTTGTTTTCTAGCATCTGTGTGACCTCTCTTCCTGATTCTGCATGATTACCTCTGGTCTCCACTAAAGATTTAACCTGAGTCCTCACCTATTTCTCAACTACATATAGTAACATCATCCAAGAGTACGTGGGGTCACGTCTAGCGCAAAGCAGGATAGTTGTTGCTTGAAGTCAACCATCTCAGCCCCAGAAAATCGCTGCAGAAGTTTATCAGCCCAAACATCTTCAGCTACTTCATCAATAACCTTGCTTCCATCATACAATCAGAGGTGAGGACATTCACTGATGTTTGCATAATATTCGCAATATTTGCGACTTCTTCGACACTGAAGCAATCTGTGCCCGATGCAGCCAGATGTGGACAACATTCAGACTGGAGCTGATGAGTGACAAGCAACATTCATGCTACACAAGTCCCAGACTATGACCATCTCCAACAAGACAGAATCCAAACTTCACCCCTTGAAATCTGGAAGTGTTACAATTGCTGAATGCTCCACTATCAACATACTGAAGATTACCACTGACCAGAAACTGAACTCGATTATCCATACAAATACTGTAGCTACAAGTGCAGGTCAGAGGCTGGGAATTCTATATGGCCAAAAATTTGCTTCCTGATTCCTCAAAGTCTGTCTACCATCTGCAAGGCGCAAGTAAAAAGAGTAAGGAGCACAGTCAATGAAAGTGGAGACTTCACCTGAGGACCTGAGACAAACACCAAGGGACTTTATTTGGAAATTTTGCGCAGAGAGAAAAAAAAAAAGGTGTTTCCAGTAAGATTCACTACGAGTAGTAAAGACTCCAGAGCAAGAGGTGAACGGGAGAGGATAAAAGGTGCAGATCAGGTGGTCTACCTGCAGTGAGACCAGCAGCAGACTGACGTCATGACCTACAACACGATGAGAATGCATGGCAATGAGCTGATAGGTGACGATCTCTAGTCTTTAAAGTCTTTAACGTCTTTCAGTGTTTAGGTCTCCAGTTATTTTCTCCTCCCCTTTCTTAAAGTTAGCTTGTTAAGTACAAGGTAGATATTGGCATTTTAAAAAAAAAATCAGTTGCCAGGGTACAAGAACTGCATAATTTACGAAAACTCAACAACTAGAATTTCCCCTGCTTTAAGCAGTTTTAGAACTGTTGACCTAGCAGTGGGTGTAGAACAAAGAGAGTCTAAAAATGTTTTTCGCATTTAAAACTCCAATCCCCTATCATTCATTTACCTCAGGGGTGATATTGTTCATGAAAAGGGATGGCAGTCTACAACCCAACGGAAGGTGCATGCATTCTTCATGGCATTGACATTTCCAGAGATCTAACAAGAGGCAAGCAGTAACGTCACCGGACTAGCAATCCAAAAACCCAGTCTAACGGCCTAGGGACATGGGTTCAAGTAACACCATGGCAGACAGCGAAATTAAAAAGCTAGTCTCATGGTGACCATGTAATCACCCAATAAAGAAATCGGTCATCCTTACATGGTCTGGCCTATATGCAACCTCAGACCCACAGCAATACGGTTGACTCTTAACTACCCTCCGAAAGGACCTAGCTAGCAATTCAGTTCAAAGAGCCCAGCCAGCAGGCCCACATGCCATGAAAGAATTAAACAAAAATAAAATCAGTAAATATCAATGTGGGAAAAAAGTGAAATAAATCAAAAGAAACATTAGCAGGAGACTATTTTTTATTGTATATCTGTAATATTATAATGTCTTATAGTCTTTTTTTTAGTAGCTGTAGCTCCACTACAACAATAACATATCTATACAGCATCTATAATAGTGATGAAATGTCCCAAAGCACTTCACAGTAATATTATTAAACTAAGCTTGACACCAAGCCACTTCAGGCAATATCATGTTAAGTTACCAAAAGCTTACCTCTTTGACCAAGCTTTAAGAAATGCCTTTATGTGGCAAGAAAGATAAAGAGTTGGAAAAGTTCAGGGAGGGAATTCCAGAGCTTAAAGCTTAGGCAACTGGAGGCTTGGATACTAATGGCTTAGCAATTATAATTGGCAATGCACAAGAGGCTAGAATTAAAGGAGCACGTATCTTGGAGGTTTGTGGGTTTGGAGGACATTACAGAGATGGAGAGGAGGAAACCTGTGGAAAGATTTGAAAATAAGGATGGGGATTTAACTTGACTGAGATCCCATGTAGGTTAACAAACACGGAGCTGATCAGGTTTTGGGACTTGCTGCAAGTTAAGATGTGGAATTTTGCATGTCCTCCCGTATACAGAAAGTACAGGGTGAGGGAGACCAGCCAGGAGTGCACTGGCATACTTGAACCTAGAAGAAACTATGATACAATGAAGGTTTTAAAAGCAGTTCAGCTGAAACTCTAAGGATACAGGATTCTTTTTTGTTGTCAATCTAAGGAATAAAATAAACAACAACAATAAATTGCCACTCAGCATTGACCTATTTGTTGCCTAATAGGTTATGCTTGTTAAATATTTCTGACATCTGTAAACCTTGGAAAAAAACATTCATTACAGATATTTTTGGAGAATCTGAAGTGGTTTATGGAATTCTGCCCTCCTTCCTCTGACAAAAGTGGTAAATGATTTCATGGGGGAGGTGATGGCCTACCAGTATTATTGCTGGACTATTAACCCAGAGACCCAAATAATGTTCTCCAGACCCGGGTTTGAATCCCACCACAGCAGACAGTGGAATTTGAATTCAAAATTAATCTGGAATTGAGGTACTAATGATGACCATGAATCTATTTGACAATTGTTGGAAAATCCCATCTGGTTCACTAATGTCCTTTCGGGAAGGAAGCTGCTGTCCTTACCTTGTCTCGTCTGCAAGTGACTCGAGATCCACAGCAATGTGGTTGACTCTTAACTGCCCTCTAGACAATTAGGAATGGGTAATAAATGCTGCCTGGCCAGCAACACCCTCATCCCGTCAATGAATAAAGAAACGAAAATTTCCAAACGTGAGTGTTGCTTTTAACTAGCTCTTCATGGTACAGATTAATTCTATTTCTTACACTAAAGGCTACAATCAGGGAGAATACGCACCAAACATAATTGAACAGTAGTCAGAATTTGATTCATAGTTATATAATTTTTTTTGAAAGCCTTCTCGAGAACGTGGTCCATTTTAGCAATGCATTACTGTGAGGCAGCTAAGATTAGTCACTAATACATTGGGACATTTCATAGTACAGAACTGCAGTATTGTCTAAATTTTTTAAGATAAATATTTGCAGGGTCAAAATTTGCGTACTTCTTACCAAACAGTATTGTGGGAGTACCTTCACTGCATTAATTCCAGTGGTTCAAGAGGGTAGCCTACTTTCTTAACAAACTTCACACGTGGATGTTAAAAAAAAATCCACATTTAAACACATTTTTATTTAAAGGCCAGAAATATTGTATTTTGAATTTCATTGTTTAAACAATTATTCTTAGAACTAATTGTTTTATTATACTGAATTGTGAATCTACTCTCTGGATTAACCATCTCTGAACCTCTGCAATTTCCTTTCATGAATCCTGGTCTGTTAGGTCTTGCCAATTTATTACTGGGACAATGCAAATATCATGGGGAAAAAGGGAAGGAATAATCAGAAAAAGGACAGTATTCAAGTTAAAAACAAATGTAAAATGTAGCTCAAACAGAACATTAAAAAAAATTACTAAACAGTCTAAATAAGTTACTGTCTACAGAATTTAAACATTGGTACAAAAAGATTATTTGGTAGATTTTAAACGATGCTGTTAAGGCTTCAGCCTCAGGACCATATTACAAAAATAACATCTCTACTTTTAACTAATTTATATTAAAGATACTCACAGAAAGAAAAGTTTCAATGTTTTCATGAATAAAAGAGGCAACATCCTGCCAGTCCAAAATGTCTCCGAGCCAACTACTTTGGCGATGGATAGTGAATTTGTGACCTTTGTGTCTTCCAGAATGAGTTACATTCTAAGGAATGAAGTAAAGAAATGTTAAAGCAAATTGTCGAAATGTGTATCCTAGACAACTGTTCACTCTTTTCATTAACTTCAATTACAGTGGAAAAGATATGTGATATTGAGCTCCAAACATCTCACAAAAGCTCTGAATGAAACCTTTGAAAATAGATGAGAGGTTGGCTGAAGAATAATATTTGTTATGAGAAAGATGTCCTATTTGGCAAGTGCTTAATGGAGGATCCACAAGGAGACGATGATTATAGACGAGGCTAAGAAGTACAGGAAATATGACAGAGCAGACATCGAGATAAATGAGACAATTTGGGAGACGTAGTAGGGAAAAAGAGACAACAAAAAGGAAGTATATCAGATAAATACTATAGAGAAAGTAATGTGAAGTGTCCTGCACTTTTATTTTGTTGCCCATCTACAGAACAACAAATTCTGTTTTTCAATTAATTATTTTCACTGGATTTACATGTTAAGAATATTTATAATTCAATTTTGGACCACTTCTTTCTTTTTAACACTCACCTTCACAAACCAATTATGATACAATCTGTCCCATAGCTCCAAGACTTGTTTCTCTATAACTGCTGTATTGTTCATCTTGTCTCCTAACATCTTATGAAGCTGAACAATCAAAAATAGTAAACATACTTGAATAAAAAGGTTAAATATGAAGTAAAACTTAGTATCAAGTATTTTTTAATACATTTTCAGAGAAAACATTCCCAGGCACTTTAGCGGTAATCAGAGGATGGCGAGATCATGAATGGAACAAAGATAGAGAAGGCAACAAAAAGTATATTCAAAGAGTAGTTTGAGAAGGTTTGTTAAGAGGAGAAAGAATCTCTTTTGAATTGCCAGTATATCTTTTCTGAAACACAGGACCAAAACTGTATGCACTATTCCAGGTGTAGCCTCATCAAGACTTCCTTATTTTTAAACTCAACTCTCCCATAATAAAGGTCAAAATTCCATTTGCCACTTTAATTACTTGCTGCATCCACATGCAAACATTTTGCGTCTCATACACGAACACCCAGATCCCTCCATGCTGCACATTTTTTGAAGACTTTCTCCATTTAAATAATAGTCTGCCTTTTGATTCTTCCTGCCAAATATATGACCGCACTTTTCTACATTAAACTTCTTCTGCCAAGTTTTCCACTTACTCACCCTGCTGATGCTGCCCATATGTCCTCATCACAGTGCCCTCCGATCTATTTTTGGATCATAAAATTTATATAACATTACACTTTGTACCTTCCTCCAAGTTATTAATATAGTCAATAATTCAGGGCCCTAGGACTGATCCTTGTGGCATTCCATTAGTTGCATCTTTCCAACCTGAAAACGACCCATTAATTATGACTTTTGTCCTCTGTTAACCAATCCTCAATCGATTCTAGCATATTACCACCATACTGTGAGCTCCTATCTTGTGCCATCATCTTTTATGTGGCACCATGCTGAATGCCTCCTGGAAATCCAAATACCACATCTACCAGTTCCGCTTTACCTCTTTATTATCCTCAAAAACACCTCTAGAAAAGTTGTCAAACACGATTTTTCCTTTCACAAAACCATGTTGACACTGTTTGACTGTATTAAGCTTTTCTAAATGTCCTGCTATTTCTTGCTTAACATTGGGCTCGAGCATTTTCTCAATGATCACTGCTGGACTAGCTGGCCTATAGTTTATAAAAACCAAAAGAACTGCGGATGCTGTAAATCAGGAACAAAAACAAAGTTGGAGTTAGATAGATAGATAGACCCTTCCTCAGAACTGATGGTTGAGTTGAAAGAGAAGTTGTTGAGGGTTAGATAGATCAAACCCTAACTTTGTCATCAAGCCTGCCGATAAGGGTGGTGCTGTTGTTGTCTGGCGTACTGACCTCTACCTTGCAGAGGCTGAGCGCCAGTGCTCAGATACCTCCTCCTACCTTCCCCTGGACCATGACCCCACCATGGCACATCAGGCCATTGTATCCACTACGGTTACGGATCTCATTTCATTCGGTGATCTCCTCCCATCCGCTTCCAAGCTAATAGTCCCCCAACCCCGCACAGTTCGTTTCTACCTCCTGCCAAAAATCCACAAACAGGACTGTCCAGGTAGACCCATTATTTCAGCCTGCTCATGCCCCACAGAACTCATCTCCTCCTACCTT